GCTTCCTCCCCTTCTAAACTCTTCACCGAAACTTGGGCACTGCACGTGTACCCCATCGCCTACTGCTGACGGTGAGAGAGAGAAACCCAGCAGAGAGCTCTCTACCTAGAACATCAGGTGGGACAAATTTCCCTTGGTATTTCTGTAGTAATAGCCTTTTAAAATAATTGGCTTCTTCATTATTATCTCTGGCTCCTAGAGATCTTTTTGTGCTCGTAAACTCATTGAGAAACTGGTCCCTCGTGCTGCCTCAAACCTCTGTTCGTTTTGATGTTGAGAGACTCGGTCTAGGATGAAATATCTCCAGTGTGAAGTGGAAAGAGTAAGAAGGCAGGGCTGTGTCAAAACTGGGCAACAGCAGCATCTCTCAGCTCTCCTGGCGTGTCCTCGTGCTGTTGTAGCAAGAGGCAGTGCTCTAACTGTCCCTCTGGATAGCCTGAAACCCGTAAGCCTTCTGGGGGCCAATTTTGGGGTGACTGTCTTGTGGAATAGAAGTGATGTTGATGCTGGCGACGCGTCAAACCTGTTCCTGCTCCCTTTGAAGTAACGAGGATCTTGAGGTGTTGGTACTGACTGCCGGTTACCCCGAGTGACCTCCGTGGGCCTGGGATGCTGTCGCTTCGCTGCCTTTTGGCTTTGCATGGGAAGTGTAGCCGTGTGGATCCTGGTTCTTGTTTTTATTTCAATTAGGAGAGGATAAGAGTGTAGCAGGCCAGGCTGTGAGGCTCTGTGTGCTTCTGGCATTAAAGAAAGCCAGCTCCGTGGCAGGTTTGCCCTCAGTTCAGCTACAATCTCTTGAGTATCGAAAAATATCGAGCACCTGAGATGTTATCTGAGGGGCTGGAGGCTTATAGACAGACTCACTTTTGGGTCTGTGTCCGAATCCGCTTCATTGCTCAGATCTAAATGGCAGGGATGGAACACTGAAGTTTAAAAAATCAATATTTCACAATTAAATATTTCAGTGTTTATTATCCTATGGCCACAGTGGGCTGGAAGCTGCCTTACGGCCCCTTTTACTAACCAGTCACTTTTCAGGATGGGCTCCTGCCTCAGCAGTTATCCCGAGAAGCTCCCCAAAGCTCTCTTTCCAACTCCTTAATGTCCCTTCTGAAACCCAGCCTGATACAGACTTGTAGAGCTTTTGACTTGACCCAAGCGAGTGTGATTTTTCTTAGATAACGTGTTTATTCAAGTAGGCAGCAAACACTATAAAAATGCAGAATTAACTGATAGTTGTCTTAAACGGTCTGTGATCCTTCCGTACAACGCTGCGTTGTCCTGGCGTTGACCGTTGAAGAGCTGGAGCTCTGGAGCCGTGAATCATGAAGGTTTGGTATCCACATAGTTTACTATAAACAAGGCTTAAGTTCCAGCTCTTCCCCTGCTAGACTCCATCCTGAAAACTAACCTCTGACATCAGATCCAGTTTCTTCATTCAGTCCTTCGAGGTTGTTGCCAAACTAGTTTGTTCAAGAGGCTTGGACATCCTGGGGTTTGTTTGTTGGTTTGTTTTTTAGAAAGCATGCCTTGCGACTTTTTTTCTTGGGGGTCTGATGCAACACCTCTAAAATGATTTTTTAATTTTTTTAAAGTTACTTTGAATAGCTCGGTAACTGGGGATGGAGGAGTGTTTCCTCTCCGGCAGTGTAACCCTGTGCTGCTGGACGTGGAGCCCGCGTCTGCTGAAATTTAGGAATTGATGTTTAATTGAGATTTTTGCCAGGAGTTTGAGCAGGAATAGCTTTGGGCCTGCTCCTGGAGAATCAATGGGAGATTTTCCTTTTCCTGAAGGCTGGTTTATGTGTTTTTTGGATCCAGCTTGTCTGTCTTATAACTGACTGCTCAACTTTGCTCTCCTCCCTCTGGGATCAAACCTGCCCAGCCTTCAGACTGAACTGTTGATTCATTCCCTGTCCCTGCAGAAGAAACGCTATCGAGAGGAGCTGTGGAAGAACATTTATTACTTTGCTTAAAACTGCTTCTTGTTGTCTTGGTAACAATAAATTTATGGGGTGACTTTAGCAGCTGCTGCATGAACAGAAGATACAAACTGCTGAGCAGACTTCAAAAGCGTGAAAAGATTGAGAACCCTCCAACCAAAAAGCGTAATTTTTGTTTCAGATAATTCTTAACTCCCTTTTATTCTCCTTGATCCTTGAGGTGGTAAAAAAAAAATAAATACCATGGTGGTGTTTATCACTTAAAAATCAAACAGAATATGAAAAATAGTTCTTAAGTGTGATTTTCTCTAAATGTGGAAAAAAAAAATCTGTATAAACCCTTTTAATCTTTGTAGGTTTACCATTATATTGGCCTTTTATTCGATTGTTTATTTCAGAAGTGAAGCTCTAATCTGCTGTAGATTCCCCCTGAGTGTCTGTACCAGGTGACATCAGTGTTTGACGTTGCTCTCTGGTAAAAGGACTTGTGCAGGAGCTCCCAGCGCTGGAACCCCTTGAGCAGAGCAGACGATGTGCCGGGTTATCCCGTGGCTTGGAAAGCAGCAGGGTTGGAGGAACTCGGGTTGTATCCTGGTGTGTGGGCTCTCCGGTCTGCTCTGTGCGGGCAGCACAAATAACACCTTCTGGAGCGGAGTTTAGAATTGGAAAAAAATACAAAAATGGTTCTGAAATGCAAACAATTCTCTCCCACGCTTCACCTGTCCCTTCAGACTGGGCTCCTCACCCTGGTGGGAAGATTTCCGTGGGCTGAAGTGGAGCCGCAGCGTTTGAAGGGCTTTGTCCTGGCTGGACCAGTTCTTTTCACCTGTGCTGAAGCTTTTCCCGTCTTCCCCTTCCCCTGTGGACGAGGAGGTTGTCTGGAGGCTGGCTTGTGGCCAATTTCTGGTGACTTACCTAATTCCAGCTGAAATGATGAAACACCGCGGTAATTACTCTTAGTGTATATATGCATTTTGTGGCCTTGAGCCACAATAAAAGCCCAGAGCCTTTCCTCTTGAAAGTCATTCCTGGTCTGTAGAGTTCAGCTGCATTTTTTTGACCTTTCCTGCTCCTTAAGGTCAGCTGTATACGTTCAGATTACTCGAGGCAGTACTTTATACCGTGATACAGCAGCTGGGCGTGGGTACCACCTCTGCCTCTTGGATTTTGCCCGTGTGCTCAGCAGGCAGGAAACAAGAACCAAGATGTTGGATTTTGAATTTTTTCCAATTGTTTTAGCTGCACTGGTGACTTGTACATTGAATTTTGACCTTCTGTTGTTTCTCCTTTCATGAAGAAACCGCTGGCGTGCCCTGTTGCACACTTGCTTCCTTGGAAATACCGATCTTAATGATTTACAGTCAATATTTGGGGTACTTCAACTGGGTCTGTTTCTCTCCCAGTTCTCCCAGTCCCGGTTGGGATGTGCAGCAAGGAAGCTTTCTGCCTTACCTCCGCTTTGGCTGCGGTTTCTCATGGGGCAAAGAGGTTGCTGCTAGTTGCTCATCAGATTTCCTTTCCCACTTTTAAAAAATACATCCTTGATCTTGGAGGCACTGTGCACATTAGCTTTTTCTTCCAGAAAGCAATTTATGAAACGACTTGGATAGAGTGCCAAAAAATCCCATTGGGCAACAGCATTGCTTCAAATCCTATATTAGTGTTGCCAGATTTTTTTTTTTTTTTTATTGCAGTGGAGCAAGTTTTTGAATAATCATTAAGACGTTCGCATAGAATTTATTTTTAACCCGCACACCAGTGGTCTGTGTAAAACCATGAGGAGTCAGACAGTCGTAACCATGAAACATCTGTCTCTACATCAATTTTGTAAGGGCTGATTAGTGCTGGGTGATTTCTTGGAGCTACGACGTGGTAGTTTCATAGCCGGTGAGCTTTACACACAGTGACAAAAAAAGATCCTGTGCTTTTAATTCTTTGGAGGGAAGGGCTGTCTCAGCGATGCACAAGGGAGAGAATCCCTGAAGTGAATGTAGTCTTGAAAAAAAGGAAAAGAGAAGCAGACTCCACCTGGGCAGGAGAGGGGAGCGGGTGTTGTGCGCCGTTGTGTTGCCGAGCGGGCTTGCCTTTCCACAGTGCCCGTGAAGCCTGGCGGTGTATTTCTGTGGAGTTTGGTTTTAAAAGGCTTATCATTGTCTGTTTGTTGTGCTCTACAGGCATGGTGCTCTAAATTTCCTTCTTGATTTCTTACCTGTGCTCAGAGTGAAAAAAAAAAAAAAAAAAAAAAAGTATTTCCCTATTCAAACTTTCTCTTTTCCGTCCTTTCCTTTTGCCGGTGCCTGGGTTTGTATTACTCTACCTTCTGATTTATGCTGCACGTAATTGTTCACTTTGCCAGTTCTTTGGGTTACTGGTTCTCCTAAATAAACTGTCCAGATAGTCAAGGCAGGGAGATTTGCAACCTTGAGAAAATAATAACAAAAAAAACCCAAACACCTAATCCGAAAAGAATGCTTAGAGCAAAAATTACTCGAGTAGTAAATTACTCCTGTCAGCAAAGTCTGGGCAAGAGTGTAGGCTGTACTCTTGCGTGTTTGTATTTCCAGGTTTTTCTGCTACCATTTCCGAGCCATTATTCTTCTCCTATCTTCCCCTCCCTGCAACCATTCCAAATGACTCCCTCTAATCCACGGGCGTTAATTGCACAATCTGGGATGGGGTAGGTGTGGTGCTGGCAGCTGTCTAAAGAAAACAGCCTCCGTTGCGTAGACGGCTCGCTCTTTTGTGAACGCCGAATGACGTCCGAGGACTGGTGTTACAGTCGTGGTAGAGGTAATAGCCAGAAGCTCAAGATGGCAGAAAAAAATTATGAAATGTTCTTCCAGTCTTATTTTGTAATCATATCCCAGGGAATGTTCCCCGCAGTATATTTCTTAACCCTCGAAGCATGCTCTACTGAAGAAGACCGAGCCACGTGTTCCGAGCGTAGCTGGGTGTTACGGTGCGGTTGGTCACAATTGTGTGCTTAGAAAACCAAGGGAATTACCTTTGCTTCAATAAATACATAACATTATTCTTTTCCTTCCAGTTTGCAGAAGCATGGACATTCGCAACAATCTGACCCGGCTGAACATGCTTGAGAACTGCACCGTGATTGAGGGCCACTTGCAAATCTTGCTGATGTTTAAAACCAAGCCTGAAGATTTCCGCGAGCTCAGCTTTCCTAAACTGACGATGATTACAGACTACTTGCTGCTTTTTCGTGTCTATGGCCTGGAGAGTTTAAAGGGACTGTTCCCCAACCTCACTGTGATTCGAGGAACTCATCTGTTCTTTAACTACGCGCTCGTCATTTTTGAGATGGTTCACCTGAAAGAGATCGGCCTCTACAACCTCATGAACATCACTCGAGGCGCTGTGCGGATTGAGAAGAACAACGAGTTGTGTTACTTGTCCACCATCGACTGGTCGAGGATTTTGGATTCTGTAGAAGATAATTACATCGTGGCCAACAAGGATGACAAAGAAGAGTGTGGAGACGTGTGTCCAGGAACCGTGAAAGGGAAGAGCAACTGCCCACCTACGGTGATCAACGGCATTTTCATCGAACGCTGCTGGACCCACGACCGCTGTCAGAGAGGTGAGTCTGCCGAGTCGTGGATGTCAGCTGTGGGTTTGCTGCCAGCTTTTAACCGGTCGGGTCTAGTGGAGGGCTAATAGGTACCTAGGAATGGCTACTGTCAAGCTTAGGTTTGTGAGAGCAGGGCTCAGAATTGATGAGAGGCTGAAGGAAGAGAGGACCTTTGGGATGGGGCTCTTTCAACAGCTCAGCTATGTGAATAATGTATCAGAAAATGTTGTTTGGTTTTTCTGGAAGGTTAGGGACTGCCTAGCTCAGAGGTTTAACAGACTGGGAGTGTAACTAATATTTAAGGTGATGTTAGTGTCTCTGGTGGGGCTTGGGCAGGGGACTGAATGTCCAGATTGAAAGGCTGCAGCAGGCGGAAACAGAACAGGGGAGGGAAAAGCCTTTGTGGAATAAACCCCCCTCTGGAAAGGTGCAATTACAGTTTTACTGAAACCTTCCTGCTGTAAAAAGCTGTAAGATAGGTGGATGAGTGAGCAATGTTCGCACAGAGTAAGAAGCTGGAAGCCAAGTCAGACCTTGAAGGGGAAAGGAGAAGGGGGGAGAGAGGACCTGGATGGGAGGTGCCCGTAGCAGCGGTTCTGGGGAGGGAGAAATAACGAGGCTGTGAGCCTGGGGAGACAGGAGACAAGAAAGCTAGCTGCTGTTGCAACCCCTGAACTCCAGTTCCTGAACTATATTAGGGTTGCTTTTAATTTCATACAGGTTTGGTTTTTTCCCCAACTTGGAACTGATCTGAAGTTTAGTTTTAATTATATATTGACTTTATGTTAAATCTGACTGACGGGGCGCACAGTGGATTGAGGTAAAACTGACACATTTAGGGTTTTTTCTCTCTCTGGAGGTAGCGCATCCAAATGAAGCAGTGTGTCCTAAGACGAAATTAGGAAACTTGCGGGCTGGAGAGAATTTCTTGCCAAGCTTTAAAGGGCAATTTTGAGTGCTAAGTGCCAAATTTGAGAAGGAATTCCTCCCAGTATGCATAAACTAATGAAATTAATGTGGTTTCCCCTCTGCTACTCCTCACCCCAAGATCGTCTGGCTTCCTTTTAAAGACAGTGGTTATTTTTTGTCGCCAGAATAACAGGGTATGAGCAAGAAGATGCGAGCGTCTGTGTGTGTTCCTTTTTTAAAATGAAAAATAAGGACATAAAGCATTTTAGTTTATAAACTCTTTTGGTATACAGTTGTTATCAGTGCTGAAAACTGGTTTCTTACGCATCTCTGTTTTATGTTTTCTGCTATTTCATGAGGTTAAAGATCTAACTGAAACTTTTTCTGTGGCTAGACCGTTCATAATGTCCCTCATTGCTGGGAGCTTTCTGGGGCTCTGCTGCAGCAGACTGGAATGTATGGTTTCTCTCCTGTATATGACAGCTTATTTCCATGAAACCTGTAGGAATGGAATCTTTTCACCATTGGGGCAGAAATTTCAGCTACAAATTCAGCTAAATTTCTTGGAGGACACCCGTATGGTATTGCACGCTACCTTAGCTTCGTTACCTAAGGGAGCGGAGCTAGTCAGTCCAGTTGACTTGAATTTGAAATTGAAATTTCATTTGGAAAATGGTTTCAAAAGTAATTACATACAGATGCTCCCATCTGGTTTCCTGCGTTCCTTGTAGAAGATTTAGAGAAGCAATGCTCCTACATATTTTGGCTGGAGCTGGTATGCGTTTTCCAAACCACTTAGCAAGCCGCGCTTATCTGTGTTTTGAATGCTAAGATTTGTACTTTCTGGGGAGCTGCTGTTCTCACCAAGCTGATATCTGTGTTAGATTGTGCCTTGTGACACCTGCCTGGATGCTTCAAAAGTTATTTTAGCAGCTTGACCAGCCTTTTAGGCTTTTTAGATTATTTTTTTTTCAGTATCCTTTCGGCTTTCAGCACACAGCGAGTAACTGCGGTAGAGATTCAGTGACATTTACTGAGTGAACCTGCTGGTGGAATCGCTCTGTTCTCTGTTCTCCTGCCAGCCCTAACGTATCCTCAGCATGTGTAATTGTTTTGTCGAGATTATTAAGAGCTTGTGTGAGTTGTACTTTGGCTTTCCTCAGCCTGAAGAGCCTCACAGCAACTCCCAGGACCGAGGGTATTAATGCCACGAAATCTTTCCCTCTGCGTTTCTGCAGCTTATCTGGGAATCCTCAGCAGCTCGTGCTGCGCTGAAGTCTCTCATCTGTCTGGTTTTAAGAGTATTCCCCTCTTTTATTTTTGCTCTTTGTCTTTTAACCAGTGCTGGAGGGAAAGGCAGCAGTTTCGGTGGAACTGTCCTTGGGGGAAGTTTGGCTTTGTGTGTTTGTTTTAACGCGGGTTATTTGCATCCCCAGTTTATTTTATAAAACTCCAGTAGAATCTCCTGTTTGCTGGGTTTTGTTTTGCATCCCTGGATGGGAAGTTGTTGCTGTGGGAGCTGATAGCGCTGCTGGACAGCATCGCTGCCCTGGGACTGACACTGTGTTTGTTGTTTTGTCTACCGGAAAAAAATCCTTAAAGAATCTGTAAATATTGATTGTTTGGATGTTACAGAGTGTGTGTCCGTGAGTCCCAAGCTGAGGAGCTTCTCCAGCCTGCTAAACCTTGAGTCCTGCTGGAGAAAAGCAGGAGATGGGCAGGAAGCTGGAGAGAACACGTTTGGAAAGGGTGGAAGATGTCGCAGAAAGGTCTCGTGTGAGCGGGGAGGAGTGGTGGGGGCTGGCGTGGGGCCCCCTGGGTGCCCCCATCTCTTCCCCACCAGTCCCTGACCCTCCCCTGCCGCTCTCTGCAGTTTTCCTTCCCGTTATCCCTGCCCCATCTCACATCGATCGTGCATCTTTGGTATTTTTTTCATTTTAATCAACACAGATACCCCAGTTAACTCCAAAACTAACTTTCAGTTGCAGCATATCATTATCTCCGAGGCACACATCCAAGTCTCTGAATCATCCTTGCAGCTATAACTCCAGTCCAGAAATTTTTTCAGTTGGTGATAACGCGTTCAAGACAACAAAGTAAAGGAATCTTCTTACAGACGTTAGAGCGAAGGTTGGGGATGGAACCAGTTGGGAGGAACTGAAAGGATTTGTGGGCAGCTGCACGCTTTGAAAAAACAGTTGTGATACCAAGGAATCTGTGTGTGAGTGCAGGGATGTGTAGGTGGATGTGCCATGGATGGGGATCGGTCGGGATGTGTTTCCTGAAAGTTTTATTTTTTTCTAAATTCCTTGTATTGGTGTGAAAAGCAAGTCGGTTCAGCTAAGGCCAACTCATGTTATATTTTGAGTGGGAAGGGAGGGAAATATGTAGTCTGTTTGGAATCTGGGTCTAGCCTTGTGCTGTTTGTGGCAGCCAAGTGCTGTTCTTGTTCTAGAGGTTTTGTACCTTTTCAGCCCACGTCTTTACAAGGCTTTTTTTGTATCCGTACCGACTTTTATTGCTGTAAAAACGTCGCTCTTAGTTGGGTGCAGCGTGTTCATGCACAGAGCGTCTTTGCTGAAGAATGCAGACAGCAAAAATGCTGGAAATGCCACGTCCTAGACCTCAGTCTCGATCTGCCAAACATGATTTTCATATTTTGCATTTTTTTCCACGGGCTTCTTTTTTTTTTTTTTCTTTAAATGTAATAAAAATGCTATATGTCTGTCAGCCCGGTTGCGGAAGGAACAATTCCCTCTGAAACAGGATTTCCTGCCAGTTCTCTTTGCAGTCAGTCTTCTCTCTCCATACATAATTTGAAGCCGTTTGATGTTTTTGACAGTCTTAATTATAGAGGCGGGTCAGCCTTTGACTTT